GGACAGTTTTAGCAATGAGGTCTGAGAAAGTAAGCTGATCATCAATCATAACTCCAAGGTTTCTGACTATTTTTTTAAGGAGTTATGGTTGTTGTGCGGTGCCTAACTGGATGGTGAAATTGTGATAAAACGATGGGTTTGCTGGAACCACAAGCAGTTCTGTCTTGGCAAGGTTGAGTTGAAGGTGATGGTCTTTCATCCAGCAAGAAATGTCTGTTAGACAAGCTGAGATGCGAGCAGCTATCATCAGATCATCAGGATGGAATGAGAGGTAGAGTTGAGTGTCATCAGCATAGCAGTGGTATGAAAAGTCATGTTTCATACATAGCATAAGGATTTTATGTCTATATTTGCTTAAATTACATAACAACACTTGAGCAACCACCCCAAGTAACCACCTCGGGTATCCTAGCAACCGCATAGCAACACCCTAGCAACCACACCAGGTGCCGTAGCAACCACACCGGGTACCCTAGCAACGCCCTAGCAACCACCACAAGTACCCTAGCAACCGCATAGCAACACCTTGGCAACCACCCAGGGTACCCTAGCAACCGCATAGCAACACCTTGGTAACCACCCAGAGTACCCTAGCAATATTTCTAAGCCATATGAACTCATTAAGCTTCCATTCTATCTAGTATTTCTAATTTTCTATCTATCTATCTATCTATCTATCTATCTGATAGACTGTATTGCCTTCAAAACATAAAGCCATAGGCGGAGGGTGAACCAACTCCAGGGTAAAAGCAGCCAAATCTTAACTACAAACATCATAACCCGTCTTTTTAGGCGAGAACCAGACATAGGTGTCATGTAGGCTAATAAAATGTTTAATGGGACTGAATTTGTATTTAACGTGATTACGGTTTAATAAAAACATTAGAAATTGTTCATTATAAAACGTTTCCTTTCCAAGGTTATTCAAACAGTGAATAAATTATTATACAGAAAGTGACATATCATTAACTTTGATCTATCACGAGTTTAAGCACTCTCCAAAAACAAAACTATCCTTTTAATCACTGAAGCTGTCTACACTGTGAAATGAATCTCTTACTTACATTGTACTTACATCTGCGCTTTGTTGTTTATGATGAGAAAATTCGGGGAATTCAGTCAGCGAACGCGCGCGCACTCAAAACTGATGAGTTTCAGCGATGACTCATCTGAACGCCTCTGATTGGCCATTGCATTCCTAAGCTCAACAGAATCGCATGTGATTGGTTATAATGCGCAACACTGTAAAAACGCCTAAAATTAAATACGGTGCAACATGAGCAGTTCTTAAAGGGGTTATATGATGCGATTTAAATTTTTCCTTTCTCTTTGGAGTGTTACAAACTCTTGGTGCATAAAGAAGATCTGTAAAGTTGCAAAGACTAAAGTCTCAAATCCAAAGAGATCGATGAGCTTTGTAAAAATCGACGCGTTTCAGAAAGGCGGGGCATAGAGGAGAAACAATAATGTACAGTATGTGGAAAATAATGTGTTTTTTGAACCTTAAACCGCATAAACACATTTCATTATACACAAATACACAAAATAATGTTCTTTATAGCAGCATCATAAGACCTCTTTAATTTAATGCCGCAATCGACACTTTCTATTCATTTTCATTTTGTTAGCAACAGACGTAATAGATTTAATTTGTCTGCGCAGGGGCATTTTCGTCCAATTTATTGGCATTTTTGCCCCAACTCACTGTGGCCAGGGTAGAATTTGCTAAGCCTTCCCCAACCTTACACACGCTCCGCCTATGCATAAAGTTTTAAAGGCAGAGTAAGTGATTTTTCAAAAACACTTTAGAAAACTGATTCGGGCCGAATCGCAAAACAAACTTGTAGCCAATCAGCAATAA